GGATCTAATATCATAACTACAGATTTCACTGTCCGTTAATGAACTGATAATTGGGGCATTGTCATCGCAATGGAACACCTTTGTCATACCATCTTCATTTATTACCGCAATTATGACAAGCACTTTTTAAAGTATCCGGAGAAACATACTCCCGTGATCTTGTGATGCTCCACAAAGCAGATTTTACGCTAAAATATTAAAAAAATTCTTGAATAGTCTTGCCATAGTTCAAGAAATTTAACACGGATTCTAAGAATTCTATTTTATATTCACATTTCAGCACGCACACTATTTCGATATCCATAGGCTGAATGATGGATGTACAATTTGGAAAAAGGAATAATACGGATACACTATCTTTCTCTAAAACGTTAAAAGGGAGTATGAGCCGAACAGTTGTTTACAATCAGGACAATTTTTGCGTCATCAGGTAAATAAACCCTATTGAAATGTTGCCAAGCCCCGGATATGAAATGATTTTCAAATCAATCATTCATAAACATTTGTGTGATCTGTGTCCTTTTATTTGCACGATATATAATGGGAAATTCTTTACTCCTTTAAATGCTCGAGGTTGTGTATTTTTTCGGATTATGAAAAGTTTACATTTGTGCGTTCCTGCAGCATTTGCGCATGCTAAAATTGTTAGTCTCGCACTGGAATCTTTGACACGAGTTGAAGCCTTTTCTATAGAGGATGGCAAGGTATTTTGTGATACATATTGCCACAAAAGACATCTTTCATTAGGGTTGTAAATTTGCTCTGGAGATAACTTTTAACTATTAATGAGTTCAATGAATTCATCTGCAAATAGTTCAGTAACTTCAGTATTAGCTGAAGCTTTTTTACCTGAAGTTCTTAATTGCCTTATACTACAGCGATTTTTAAATTTGGTTAACCAACCAGTCGAATGCGTGCACTCAGTTTTCAAGTTCATTTCTTGGTGAAATACTTTTAGTTTGAGCCATTAGCATTTGACCTGTCAATGATGCGCCCTCGTTGCGATGGTCTTACACATTCAGTCATCACTTTGCCATGATATTCATTTTTAGCATAACGAACAATTTTTCTGTTATTCATTGCGAGTGGGGTGTTGGAATCCACAAAAAATGCTTTTGCTTTATAGATCCTGTTGCAGCTGCAGAATCAGAAACTCTTTTCGATATAATATAAAATTGAAACTTTAATTTTCATAAAATTCCCGTAATAAAAAGAGCATACAAAAAATAATTAAGCTCGCTCAAATCAGAAAGTTAAAGAACAGCGCAATCTCAATGACCCAAATTCCTTAGAATCCGTAAAGTATTATTTTAGCGTAGCTTAATAGTGACCGCTATACATTATTTGGCTATGTGTCATGAGATTGCCGACATAAAGACAAGTTGTTCCGCTAAATTTTGTCTTGCTTCTACCGCGCACCGAGACAATTAAGCCTGATTGTTTTAGTTTAGTTATTTATTATACTTACGTCTATTTCTTGCAGATACTTAAGGATTATCCGAGTCCTGAATAAATAAATTCCTATGTATACTACTCAAGACTTATCGACAGCCAGCTCTAAATATCTTGCTGACCGATGCAGTCAGTCTCTATGGGTCCTAAATTTTAGACGCCCCAAAATTTTGGATCCCAGTGCTTGCTCTAAATTCTAAAAATATTTTGATTCCTTAGTTTTGTTGCTCGGTACTTCTCTAAATTCCAAAAATCTTGTGTTCTCTAAATTCTGCCGCCCGGTGCAGCCATACGAGCTCTGGCGCTGGATTTATTTGAAAAACAAATTAGGTATTCTTAATTTAAATAGCACTAAATGTAATCTTTTGGTTTACGAGTATCATTAATAAAATCTATTTTTAGCATATGGAAAGAAATTTTTGTTAAATTTCTTGTTGTCAATATTTCTTAGTGCATTTAACCGAAATTTCTAAACACTGCCAAGCGTGACGTCAATATAAAAGGCTACCATATGCTTCAAATATAAAAATGCTTGGGCATCGCTGCACGAGTCATTACAAGTTGTCATATGTTGATAAACATGCGGTGATGAAAGCAAAATATAATAAAAGTAGTAATTCGCAACGTTAGTGTCAGGGGTACAAAACCTTAGTAAGTGCAAAATAAACGATTTTTCTATCTAGAATGATTCAGTTTGAGATGTATGTCAAGCAGATACGCAACAAAGGAGTCAAATTATTGATCACACAGATTTATGCTAAATTACTGTCTCTTTAATAGCGAGGTATTTATTTAGTGCAGAAGGGAAATTAAGAATCGGGACTCCCCGTTTTATTTATGCAGGGAAAAATCAAATGCGCATGCATAAAGCAAAAAAAAAAGTTGCTGGCGATTTTGAGGTCCGGATTTTAGATCACTCCGAATGTTGGATGTCCAAATCTCGGACTTTGTATTAGAACTACTATTATGTAATGTAACTTCAGTCAGGTTCTATAAAACAACGAGGAATAATGTTTAAATTTTCACTTTATGAAACTTCCAAATCTATAATTAATGTAAAAATGTAATTAAAAAGAAAAGTTTTGCAGTGTCAAAAGTAACTCCAGAGGCAAAACTTGAGCTCATCAACCAAATGCAATTTTCTAGTACTTTTCATTTGTCATTATGGTTTGGTTTGGTTAGGTTTATTAGATTACGGCAGAGCACTCGAGGGCTATCTGCCTAGAGGGAGGAATACCTACGTTTTAAGGGAAACTGGCTCGTATACACGTTACACACGGGGAAAACCACGAAAACACCCATGCAGCCAGCCCGTTCGCGGGATTCGAACCTCGGACCGAACTACCAGTGTTCAGTGACGTTACCGCTCGGCCACTGGTGGGCCATTTCTCATTATGAATGAAATGATTTGCATCCAATAAGGTACTATTAACCCTTTCTGGCACAGTGTGCCCGTTTTGGGCCCACCTAAAAATTTCCCTCTGTACACAGAGAAAAATTTAATGAAAAAGGATTTATAGGTACTCTGAACCTTTTTTATACTACACGGCAGCACAACACAAAACAGTCCAAATATTTTAGCCATATTTAGTTTTTAAACACCTATTTTTTCAGATTTTTTTAAGTATATAAAAGGAATTGTTTGAAAAGAAATTTCGATGTTATTTTCTTGGCTCTATGCTAATTTCTTTATTCTATATTAGTTTTAAATTTCTACCTTGAAATCTTGCCTATAATCAAACGATGAACACCAGAGTGGGCTCACCGAGAAACTAGGACTACAGCAAAAACTCTATTTTTGTTTCATTGCAGCTCTCCGGTGGGCTTTTTTACAATAGAAAGGTGAGTTCACAGCTGTGTTTCATTTCCCATTTTTCTTCTTTTTTGGGGGAGGGGGGGGAAGGGAGGATTGGTTATCAACTAAGAAATTGTTGGGGTGATTTTCTGAAGGTCAGGGGTAATTTTATCAGTTAGCGCTATGGTTTTTCACTTTCATTCAAAGAAGTTTTGAGTTGTAGACGTTTATTTAACTTTTTAATTTAAAATTTTTAATTGTAGCTATACTATTACTTTATTTTTGTTTGATTTTTAATTTTTTTGCAAATGGATGGGAGAGGGCTAACCATTTCTGAAGCACTGTAAATGCTACATGAATTACCTTCAGATAGTGAATTTGATACGAATCCCTGTGCATGTGCAAAACATGCAATGTTGGGTTGTGCATTTTCAAAGGTGGTGTCACTTTCTTCGAAAAGTACCACCATGGAAAAAAATAAATAAATAAATGAAAGTGTAAATATTAAATGTAAAATATCACATACGCAAGTTACTTTTTTCACTTATACACATGTAATCATCATATTACCAATAAGAGCTTTTTGGGGGGGGGTTAGAGTAGTAGGCTTCCCATGGCACACCCTGGGTAATGCTAAATCTGCTACGGTATTCAGAATCTGGTGTTGTTTAACCGTAGGCAAAATATTTTACTCTATTACACGTTTCCCAGCAATGCTCGCTTTAGCACTCTTTTCAAAGCCCTATTCACTCAGCGAGCCTGCTTTGGGTACACCCACAGAATTAAAATAGTAAGTGCTACCTTTACAAAATTTTATATGTGTACTCCTCTAGGCCTAATCAGGTTACAGTTTTTTTTTGGGGGGGGTCGAAATTCCAACATTAAAAAACAGCATACTGGAAATGGTTAAATCATTGAAATGTTATACCTTTAAGTTTAATTACTTTTTTTTATTTAAAGAAAATATTTAACAGAACAGCAGATGTCTGACAATTTTAGTGTGAGTAATCTATGAAAAATCACTCATGTGGAGTTGTCACATTAGTTTAGCATTTCATGTTTAAAGATGTTCTAAAAAAAAACTCTTTTGCAAGATGAAATGCACACTGATTTAAAAATATATTTATGAACTCATAAGGCCATTTCTAATACGATAGACATAATAGGAAAAATCCATACCATATTTCCTTTTTCCAGCAAGCAGTAAGTCTACATACTTAGCATGCCATTGAAGAAATAAATCTTCATTAAAAAATTAAAACATTAAGCACCTTATTCTATTCTTCATACCCTGAATAATCAACTTAAAATAAACTTGCTCTTTAGTAATAAGAATGTCTTCATAGAAACTCACTAGCAGAACTGACTTCAAATAACCATCACAAAAGCAAACATGTATGTTGAAAATCAGGTATATGCCAGAGAAGTTCTCTGTTTTACTAAATTATCTTAAAACATTCATGTGCATATCTTTTTGATTCATTTTTCTTAAAGGGCCCACCAGCGGCCGAGCGGTAGCGTCGCTGAACACTGGTAGTTTGGTCCGAGGTTCGAATCCCGCAAACGGGCTGGCTGCATGGGTGTTTTCGTGGTTTTCCCCGTGTGTAACGTGTATACTAGCCAGTTTCCCTTAAAAAGTTCCCGAATGCATCCCTCCCTTAAGGCAGATAGCCCTCGAGTGCTTTGTCGTAATCTAATAAACCAAACCATTTTCTTAAAACATAAAGTACCCTGATTTTTATGCAAAAAAACAAGAGCTCAGAGTTAAAAAGCTCGAAAAGTATTCAACATTATATTTCTGTGGCTAAAAACTCATCACTGCATTACAATATATACACGCAATATATGTGTGGGGAAAAAAATTTCGCTAATTTTAAAGGAGTTCATACACGTTTCTGCACATTGAAATTAAATACTTTTAAGAACCATCAATGAAAAGAATTAATGACCTTCTGAGGTACAAGGTCTAAAAACTATCACTGTAAACTCTACAAGAGCATAAAGCCAGCAGATTTTTGAATAATAAATTGAAAAAGGAAAGTGTAAAGTTAAATTTTAAAAGAATACCAACACATACCTAATTATTATTTAGGGGGGGGGAATCTAATGAAGAAATAAAAAAAATGAAATTAATTTAAAAATGACTCAAGTAACTATTTTGCTTTTGTTAAGAAGCGCTTCAAAAATTGCACTTCATAGTATTTACTATCATATTTTTCAGAATCGAAATATTCCTAAGTTGCCACAATAGAAAGCGAAATTTTACAACATGACTTGGGAAAATGCATGTTTTATTTTTAGTTACAATTTTTATACTATCATTATTTAAATATTTTCAATTTTCTTATAAAAAAGATTCGCAAATATCAGGATTAAAAATTATGTATAGAAATTGATCGCCAAATTTAGTACCGCATAATAAAAGGAATCGCATCTCAAAAAGGGGTTTGATGTAATACCATAATAGCCATGTTTTAAGGAGACAAGGTATGGGATCTTTTACTATTCATCATTAGAGTTGGTACGTAAGTTTCCAGAAATGCTCCCATTTCTACCAAACATATAACTTTTCAATTATATTGTCCTATTACTAAAATTAGAACTATAACCTAATGGGTTTTATTACTGATAAAAAGAGGAAATATACTTAATTTGGTTTTAACTTTTGAAAATAAACACTCAGCTGATGAACTTGCTTGTCAGTATGAAGAATATCTTGGCAAAAACTCAGAAGCAGAACTGATATTAATAATCATTTAAGCAAGCAAATATCTTGAAATATTAAATAAAACTTATCGTATACACCTGTATTAGTCGATAATTTTAAGAAAAAAATCAAACTTCAAAGTAGGGGTTCAACACGTTTTATTTTCTGTTTATTAGAAAAGTCCCCCTATTTCATTTCATTATCTGTGCATCACACAAGTTCAGCATGAACAAGATGATGATTCGTGACTGGAGGGAAAATGCACCTATATTACAAAAAAAAAAAAAAAAAAAAAAACTAAATGTAAAACAGGCTCTGCGTCATGGACTGGCATCTTTCCCAGAAGTGGAAAAAGCTTTTAAGTAATTGGATTCTAGACAACAGCTAGCAAGGTTATGCCATACCCCGAACTGCGATACATTCGCAGATGAAAAATTTGCTCCTGTAAATATCTCTTTTCGTGCATCACAACATTGGTGCACAAGACTCACGAGTCGTTAAGGACCATGTTTACACCATCCTAACAAAATTTCACAGAAATTGCAGAGTCAACTTAAAGATAAATAAGTCAACTTCCAAAAGTATGCGACTGAAAAAAGAAAAATAACTGATTTTGAAATGTTTCAAATAGGCAACATGAATGAAACCCTGATTACTTTTGATCTTCCTGAAAATTTCGCTGTTGATAAAAAGGATGAAAAACAAAATAACTTACCTCCCATGATTATTTTCAACCAACATTACTAGGGGGGGGAAGAACATTTTTGGCAGTTGTTTGTGCCCAGAAAAATGGTTGGACACCTTAACGATTGATTGGTTTCAAAATGTTAGGTGAAAAACAGGCACACTTTTAGTGAAACCATTGCTTTTGATTTGGGATATGTTTCCACCGCATCATTCAGAAACTGTAAAAAAAAACATGCAAAAAGTTCAAAAACACTTTCTATGATCCCAGGAGGGCTGACATCCATTTTACAATCACTGGATGTCAGCATAAATAAGCCATTCAAGGTGAATATGCGTGGGTATTGGGTGGAATGGATACAATCCAACTTGCCTGCTAAAACCAAAGTTGGCAATAATAGAAAGCCAGACATAATTATAATTGCACAGTGGGTGAAGGACGCTTAGGACATGATTGTGGTTGAAATGATAACTAAATTATTAAAAAAAGTGTTGCATTTTCAATAACTTGAATGCACAATCTATCCAAGTGACAATAATGCCACTAGCTGTGATGAAATTTATGAAGATTCGCCAATGACTGAAAAAGAATTTCAGGATTTATTTGCAGATCCTGAAGAATTTGAACGAAATTCTTTGAAAATTTTATCATGTGCTAAAATGGAAATAAACAAACATTTACTAAAGTGCGAGTGTAATTTTATCAAGAACATCGGTGTGCTGTTTTATCGGAGGCGCCGCTCATGTGACAAATTTGTTTTCCCAAAATGTTTTCGTAAAAGTCGGAATATCTATTTATACATGGGTATATGTGGTCTGTCAGCCATTATACTGCCTGATACAACCTCAAATAATCAATGAAATTCATGCAAAAAACAAAACAAAAACCTTATAAATTATTCAAATTTCTGTAGCTAAAATTAAAGACCTTCTGACAATTTGAGCCAAAGTTAAGGACCAAAAATAATCTGCAAAAAAACGTAAGGACTTTTTAATAAGCATGAACCCTGTTTTAAAGAGACAGGTGTGGGATCTTTTAATTCATATCATTACAGAGTTAGAAGATAAGTTTCCAGAAATGCTTCCAAAATTAAGGATTAAAAAAAAACATTAAGAACTTTTAAGGAGCCCTGTTTTAAGGAGACAGGTGTGAGATGTTTTACTATTCATATGATTAGTTAGAAGACAAGTTTCCAGAAATGCTCCCCAGTTCTACCAAGCATATAACTTTTCAATTGCATTGTCCTATTACTAAAATGAGTACTATAACCTAATGGCCTTTATTACTGATAAAAGAGGAAATATCTTAATTTGCCTTTAACTTTTGAAAATAATAATAATAAAGTGACACTCAGCTGAGATGAACTTGCTTGCCAATATGAGAAATACCTTCACCAAAACTCAGTAGCAGAACTGACTTACGTCAATCATCATTCAAGCAAGCACATAACTTGAAAACTATGTGTCAAGCGGTAGGTTATCTTGAAACATTAAGCAACTGCTTTCATTTCCAATTTTCCCCAGAATATTCTCCACGAAGGCATGACATTGCTCATCAGTCAAAACAGACATGTTAGCCCATATTTGCTCTGCCATATAAATACTTTTCTGCGATTGCTTTACAACATTAATAAGCTTTTACTACTTTTTGGCAAAGGTGTAGATAAGAAAGTAATTTTTTAATCTTATTTAATCAAGACTAACAGACAATCAATGGCCTAAAATTTAACAATATAGAAATTTTTTTAAATGTTGAAAATATGATCTATATTCCGGATTTTGCAACAATATACAATACAGTCAAAAGTCGTTAATTCGGATCTCAAAGCTAGAAACTTTTGGCTGTGCATATGAGTGTGCGCATAATATGTTTACGCTTGCGTGTTTAATGTATAACAGACGGTATAAGCTAAAATTATCTATTTCAGTTAATGTTGCAGATAGCGTTGTTCCTCATTCTTCGAATTGAATCCAGCTTATTATTTTTTACAGACTTTTAGAGCAATTTTATAAAAATAAGCTTGCACTTCCGATTATGTCAAATAGAATTTTGAATGCTGGAGCTCCCAAAGGATCTACAAAGCAAAAGTATGTTTCCATGTCCATCAAACAAAAAGTGGAATTGCTGCAAAAAATGGATAAAGCATATCCTTTATTTCTCTAACCATTCCAAAATCTGTTCAATTTCACGCTGTTCTGCAGCGAGGGGGGGGGATGCCGCGGCACACAATGAATTGGAAGTTGATCTGTCAGCACTATCAGGGCAGATGTTTTTATTTTATTTGGCTTATAATTCCTTACTAAATGTAGTATTTCATCTCGATGTACTCAGTCTTTGATATGATTTAAATCATATTCCTCGTCATTATAATTCACTTCCGATAGTGAAACAGAGGCTATTGAAAAAAAAAATTTCTGATTGACAAATTAGTCGATATTCTCGACACAGCAATTATAGGACTTGAACAGAGGAACTTTGTAACTGAACAAGAAATTATACCTGTTTATAGAATTAAAGAGAAAGTATTATCACATAAAAGGAAGTAACTTAAAGAACTTACATTGAAAGAAATATTTAATAAAATATAATAAAATAAACAAATAAATATTAAGCTCTTTTTTTTTTTGTAAATTTTGATACCCTTTAGATCATAATTGCTCTTTATTTCATAAATTACAGTTTCATATTTTTAATTGTATAATTTCTGCATGAAATCTTACCAGATTTAAACTGATGATCTATAATCCGGAATCGGCGAAGTCCCGACAAGTCCGGATTAACGACTTTTGACTGTAGTTTACATTTTTCCCCCATACAGTACAAAGTCTGTAATCCGGACTCGTCGGGACTTTAGCGATTCAGGATTATAGATCCTCAATTTAGATCTGGTAAGATGGCATGCAGAAATTATACAATTAAAAATATGAAACCGTAATTTATGAAATAAAGAGCAATTATGATCTAAAGGGTATCAAAATTTACAAAAAAAAAAGGTATAATATTTATTTGTTTACTTTATTAAATATTTCTTTCAATGTAAGTGGTTTAAGTTGCTTCGTTTTTTGTGCTAATACTTTCTCTTTAATTCTATAAACAGACATAATTTCTTGTTCAGTTCCACTGTTCAAGTCCTTTAATTACCATGTCGAGAATATCAACTAACTTGTCAATCGAGATATTTTCATTTTCAATAACCTCTCTGTTACTTTCTTCACTATCAGAAGCATCGAAACATGCTTTCGCTTTGTGATACTTTGGCAGCTCTAGAATTGGAAACTTTTTGACATATTGAAAGTTCAATCTTAATTTTTATAAGATTGCTCTAACAGTTGCAAAAAAATAATAAGCCAGATCCAATTAGAAGATTAAGGAACAGCACAATCTGCAACATTAACTGAAATGCCTTAGAATCAGTAAAGATAATTTTAGCCTAGCTTATATCGTCTGTTATAAAGTAAACTCGCATGCGTAAAGCATACCAAAAAAGTTTGTGGCTTTGACATCCAGATTAGAGATCATTCCGGATAATGGTATATGCAATGTTGTCACTTTCATGACGGTATACGAGAGAGAAAAATCTTTAAAAAGGAAACCAACAATTCACAACATTTTCAAAAAAAAAACCAAAGCATCAAAGAACGGCTTTAAGCTCAGAGATCTTGGTGGAAAATACTCATGAAAAATCATTTCCAGTTCAAATATCATCACAGCTTAAATAATTCAGCATAATGTTCAATGTGGCTTAAAAAAATTCCAATTTATGAATTTTTCCAGAAAATTTTGTTCAGTTAATAAAGATCAATGTATAATTTTTACATTTGCTTTAGTCAGGAGCAAAAGACATGTAATAAAAGTCAGCATCATCTTTAGCTTAATATAATTTCATTAGAAATAATGCATAAATACTATAAAGATATAAATAAATACAATTGGATCATGCCAGAAATCATTTTAATACACTAAAAATTTTATAGTTCCCAGAGGAAAAAAAAATTCCAGCTTTTTTTGTTATTAATGCTAGAAAAAACACTAAAATTCTTGTCTTGATTCATTATTTATACTTGAAACATCAAATTTGAAAACTAAACATAAAAGAACACAATGTGCCAAACATGAGGTAGTGTGATGAATTGATGATGATGATGTCGGGTCTATGACAAAGTGCAATTATACAACTCCGAAACTGTCAACCTCGGCAGCTCTATCGGTATAAAGATGACCGAGTTGACATTTGCCCTTCTGAATCGCTTGCAAAGCTGATCTGCAGTGTGTGATGAATTAAAAACAAATTATAACAATGAATAAAATAGGGAGGTGGACAAATGTACAAAATCCAGAGAATGAAGTAGAAAAAAACCAAGTAAAAGCACAAAAATGGTCAAAATTAAAATTCACTACACAACCTTAAAGTCAGATTATATTAGATAATAAAAACCAGTCTCTTTTAAATAACAAAATAAATTACAACTGACCTCTCTTTAGATTAAACGATCGATAGTTTAAGTCACAACTATTAAAACACTTCGGATATTAGAACATGGGCACTCAATTAAAATGACAGACTGATAGACAAACATTAATTTGAAAGAAAAGGCTCATTCTCAGCTTTCAAAACGTAATTATGTGTCACTCCAGTGTGATCGATTCCAAGACGAGTCAAAAGAACTTCCTCCTTATAATTTTCAGTGAAATCCCAATGTTCTATTGCAGACTTCTCACTTTTTGACTTGTTATGAGGCCTAATGTTCCAAAGTTGTTGCCACTTTTTTAGTATCTTCTCTTTTGATGACAAAACTGAGATGTCTGAAAGGTACAAGGCAACTGGACAGTTCAACAGCAGATTTCGCTGCCATATCCATGATTCGTTAAGTTTATATTTAACTTAACTATTAATGGATTCTGGGTATTGAAAAAAGTTTCCAATGCATTTTAAAAGTCTATAATTTATCAACTTTTTCTGGCACAGCTTTGATATGTATAAAAGAGTAATATATAGCAGTTAGTTCAGATGTTAAGACTGAGAATCGTGACAATCTTCTACCATCCAATTGGTCACTAATTACAAATGCCATCCCAACATGAATATCTGACTTGGATTCATCTGTACAGATGAGAAAATAACTGGGTTAGTCTATATTTATGCCTGTGCTCAGCACTAAGTTGTCTATAGACAATCTCGTTAGTGTCAAAGTAAAAAACAACAAAGTTGTATGCACATTTTTTACAATAAAAGTAATTTACAGTTTTTTCCTTCCTTAAAAAATTCATAGTTTATGTTATACAGAATGAAAAATTTGGAAATATTAATAAACAATAATGCTAAATAAAAATATGACAGCAAGTAGAAACAAATGCTGAAATATACTTAAAAACAGAATTCATACTGTGGGTTAAACTGCATTCGTATGACAAAACTTTGGAAGTATGACACTCAAAATGATTTCTTTAATACTTATGCATAGGGGCATAGCTAGAGTGAGGCAAAGGGAAACATCTGTCCCTGGGCACGCCGAGCTCATGAAACGAATTTTTAGAATGAAATGTTTTTCATCCTAGGCAAACAAGAGGGGCACAAGATTTTCAGTTGTCCCCCAGTGCTGAAAATCCTAGCTACAGCTCTGCTTATGCATGAATACTATCATTCTAAGTTATTTGCAGTATTCTAAGTTTGGTTTACTTGACTATGCAAAACATGCTGGCTATCTGCTTAAGCGGGGGGTTAATGTACAACGTGGTGGATTTTCTAAGGGGAACTGGCTCATATCCACATTACACATGGGAAAAAGGTGAACAAAATTATTTAAACCAACCATGCCGCAAATTGGTTTGCCTGGGTTACACCTACCAGTGTTTAAGAGACTTCAATCGGTCGTTGAAGGTAGATAAAAATTGGAACAAATCAAACTGATGGAGAAAAGATTGAAGCAATCAAAGCAGGTAAAGTTGAAATCAATAAACCAAGCCAAGCAGAACATGAAAAATCTTTCTCATGTTACAAAAATTTAAGATCAATACACCCGTACAAACGAAATAATAGATGTAAAAGTACAATTAATCTGTTTTATATATAAAAAAATGACAAATTTTTCGAATTAATTTTTCTTCAGAAATTTTCTTAGCATTTAGTGGTCGTTATTACGCAATGTAATGAAGATTGAGAAGGATTGACTTAAGGTTACCGTGATTTTAAGAAACATGCATTTACAAAGCAAACAGTTACATAAAAATAATATTACATAAATTATGCAAATACAAACATATCTACACATAATTGAAAGAAAAAAACATTTAATTTAATATCCTAAGCATGCAATTATTCTAACACCATAAGACAAATCCACACCGCAAAACCAAAGAATCTCTAAGGCAAAACGAACTCCAAAAAACGTTACTGCCAAAAGCAAACTGTTTATCATCTTAGCTAATTCAAATTTTCTCTCCATGATGGCGCTTGACAAAAAAGTTGTTGGCTATGCACACCCGGTAAGCGCATATAAATCGCAATGAATTATAAAAAAATAGGAAAATAATTTCACTTTTTCCTTTTAAATTAATAAATTTTTAATGAGTTTTAATAAAAAGCTACTAAAAAAATTTCCTCTTTACATTTTATCTGTCTGTTTCAACTTTTGTCCTACGGGCAGAAAGATGGCCAAAAAATAAAATTTTTCTTTTGTGCGCGTCTGTGTGAAAATTATTCATGGTGTTATTAACAAAGCTTTTTGTGTGAAGCCAAAGTTCTTTAATATACTGGTGTGAAGCTTTGAACAGATCTTGAAGAATTTTTGAACAAAATTACCGACGAAGCTGGAGTTTTGTGTCAAACGTTGTATAGCGGTATTGAGGAGCATTTCAAGGTCTGTCTTGATTTCATTTTTCAATTATGGATATAGATTTCGAGAACAATTTAAGATATAAACATTATTTGTCGAAATTTGTGAAAGTAAAAACGGTTGATGAAAATTTTCATGAGGGTTGGCTGAAATGTATAGATCCATTGACTGGAAATTTAATTTTGGTAATCTTAAACGAAGATAATTCATTGGTACTTGAAAGTTGTCTTATTCATGGTGCAGATTATACAGATGTAGAATTGCTTAAAGATGTGGATAATGACATTAAATCATTAATTAAGAAATATTATTGTGGGGAAGGACGCAATCCAGTCAATGTTGAAGCTCGAAAAATTCATATAATATCATGGATGAAAAAACATAGAATACCTGTTCGCGAAATATCAGACGGAGGTATCATGGTCTGTGAATCTGTTAGTATTTTTCCACCTTATTTTGAAGAAAATTGTTCCAGTTTGAACGGAAGAGTATTGCTTCGTATTCGAGAGATATTGCAGTCACTACCTGAAGAAGAAACTAAATCACCGGAGTGTAAGGAGGAAAATTATACTCAAGTAGAATCACCAACAAGTAATAATCCTATTAAGGAATGACAGAATTATAAAAAAAGAAACTTAACTTTTTTTTAACAATCAAGACAGTGTAAAGACAAGGATCAAATAAATTTATCTAGTTATTTCAAATTCGTATTTAAAAATTTGATGTTATTAAACTGAGAGTTACATTCATTATCTCTAATAACTTGTTCTCTATTGCCGAAGCTTTAGTAAATTTGTAATGTTTTATTTCTGCCACTGTGAAAAAACAATGGAAACCTTAAGAAGGAGTGCCCACACCCATACATAAATCTGCTTATAACTTAAAGAAAAGGTAATCTTTATAAAGTTGCAGTAACGTGGTTAATCTTTGGATTATGGTAACTTGGCGAAAATTTGGCGACCAACCCTGCTACAGCAACCTGTTAGTTTTTTTTTTTTGGACGCCATTTTGTTTTCACAAAATAAAGGCATGTTTTTTTTTTTTTTTTTTTTTACTCAACATTTTTTTCCAACAATTTGCTAGCCGAATTACGCTTATGCTAGAACTTTTATGGAACAAAAGTGCTTAATCATGATGAAGATTAGGTGCGAAATTGGAAGAAAGTGCAGAATCGCCCACTGCTTGCCGTGTTTTTAAGAATTGCACATACAACACGGTATCCATGTACACGTCACTTAAAAAAACATCCCAGAATTGCACAAAAATGGCATTGCGCACACTCTTGACTTTATCCATGTACACTGCTAAAGTCCTAGCTAGTAACCTTTATCGTCTTACCAAAATGTCGCCAAACTACCTATTACCCTGTTCCAAAGATTACCCACAGTAACTGTTATATAGGTTGTTATATGCCATAAAATATGTAATAAAATGTACTATAATATAAGTAGAATTTTCATTTGCTTTATTACTTAGAATAGCAAATTGAAACCATAATTGCATACTAAAGCTGTGGTATAAAGAGGTCAGAAACTGATCTACATGGGCTAAGATGTCTTCATGATGTCTCATCTTAAATCGAGTTAGTCTCTTCTCATACAGTAGCTGACTTATGTACGTGTGTGCAATGTTATGAAATATAACTGACCAGTATAAAATAGAATATGCTCTTCACATGTTAACATTCAATATCTGTTTATGAGAATTCAATAGGTAAATTGTAACAGATAAAAATTAGTGATTTCATTGAGGTAAGAGTTAATATATGTAGGTAATGAAGATGGACAAAGTAATATTGGTACAATTCGGTTTCGGGGACTGGAAAAAATTTGCTGTGAAAATGCATGCGCAAAAGCGCCAAATCTAGCAAACTCGGCCATTAAACAGCTCACCAAATCTCGCGAACGCGCTGATTTCAAATTGCGTAAGTTTTAGATAGTTCTATATTTGTAAGTCGCCATTGAAATACTAGTTTAATTTTTTAATTCTTTTTTTTATAAAATTCTCTTTTTGGATTTTACAATTTGGGAATTGCCGAGTGAAGAAAAGTCTGCAATAGAAATTTTTCCAAAAGAAGGCATCATTCATGATAGAAAATTATGTTTTAACAATCATGAGATGAAATTATGCTTTATCGATAACTCGGTAGCAAAATGGCGGTGCAAGAAAGAAACCTGTAATGAGAAGAAAGGATTGAGAATTCAAAATTGGTTTGATGGATCGAAAATCCCCTTCCTTACAGCCGTTAGGTTCATCTATTTTTGGTGTCAGGAAATGACATCTGTTGAATTTTGTGAACTCCAGCTCAAGATGACCCACAGTATATTTGTAGACTGGAACAGTTACATGCGTGAAGTGTGTCCTCAGCTTTAATTGCTCGAACCAAGTCTAAAATAGGCGGATGTGGCAAAATTATTGAAGTAGATGAAAGCCTTTTCAGTACACGAAAGCCTTTTTTTTTTCCATTGTGGCGGAAGAAACGTCCAACACACACTGTTGGACCTGTTCTTCCGCCACAATGGGTTTTCGGCGGATTATGCAGAGAATCAAATGAATGTTTCTTAGTCACTGTTCCAGATCGATCGGCGAAAACCTTATTGAACATCATAAAGGATAATATCGCAGAAGGAAGCGTTATTTATACTGACTGCTGGAAATCATACAAGTCAGATGAACTGCAAGATGCCGGTTTTGAACACTTTACTGTCAACAACAACTACAATTGTGTGGACCCGGAAAGTGGGTGTCATACACAAGCAGTAGAACGGCTGTGGGGCAGTGCTAAATGGCGTAATAAATGTCGACAGCATTTTGATTCTTGTCTGAGTTCATGTACAGACGTTTGCACAAAAAAACTGAAATTTTTTTCTGCTATGTTGGAAGACATAAAAAATTTTATGCCACCCGTTTAATTGCAAGTATATTTAGCCTTTTTTTCCTAAAGTAATACAAAATTGTATTATATGAAATTAACGTCTCATCAAAATTCAAATAAAAATCTGAAATAGGTATTTACTATTATGTTTCCATTCAGTTATTTTAGCCTTTTTATATAAATAATAATAATAAAAAATTGTATGATGTGAAATTAATCTTTTATCTAAATTAAAATAATAATGTGAAACAGTTTACTCTTATGCTTCCATTCAGTCATGTTTAGCCTATTTTATATAAATTATAATAATAAAAAAGTGCTATGTGAAAGTAACTTTTCATCTAAATTAAAACATCAATCTTAAATAGTTATTTACTATTATACTTCCTTTCTTGCGTTAGGGCTGCCGCAATAATTTTTGGCAGCATTGGCATCAACAATAGTTTGGCGATTTTTTATGGCCCTCAAAACCGAATAGTACCGTAATATTATTTGCAAAGTGGTTTCTTTAATGTATTAAACTAGAAATAAAGTTAGAATCCTTAGTAATAAATACTTATTTTAATAATTTGTGTAGAGCAGTGGTTCTCAACCTTTTGAGTAATGCATACCATCTAAACAAAAACTGAAAAACCTTTAGTATCACCACTACAATGTACTACTACAACCACCACTCTTGAACAAAGCTCAAATAAATTTGCGAGTGTCAATCAGGGTGTTGGGGGTTTAATTTTTGAATTTAGAAGTACTTTGCATCTTTGCGTACCACCGGTTGAAAACCCTTGGTGTAGAGCGTATGTCAGAATTCCATAATATTTAATTTATATCATGATAATTTAAAGTGATTTGGTTAGGTGAGATTTTAAAAAAATTGGAAGAATAAAGGTTATAAGTATGAATATTTCTGTAGCGGATAAAAACATGTTTGGGTACTTACCACAACCACCTCAGTAGTAGTTGCAAAATTTTCAGAATGGGCTAAACTCTGGCATGTTCACAATTCTTCAGGCAACCATGCACACAACTATTCTTTAATTTAGCAGTACAGTGAAAAGTCGTTAATTCGGACACCCATAATCCGGAATGATCTATAATCCGGACCTCAAAGCTACAAACTTTCTGCGCGTAAGACCTTCACGGCTGCGAAATTGCGTGTGCACGTGCGCAAAATACGTTTACGAATGCGCGTTTAATCTATAACAGACGGTATAAGCTAAGCTAAAATTATCTAATTCAGTTAATGTTTCAGATTGCGTTGTTCCTTAATCTTCAAATTGGATTCGGGTTATTATATTTTGCAGACTGTTAGAGCAATTTTATAAAAGTAAGCTTCAACTTTCGATTATGTAGATTAGAATTTCTGATATACATTTACTAATATGTAAAGGATGTACAAAGTGAAAGTATTTTTCAAAGTCCATTAAACAAAAAGTGGAATTGCTGAAAAAATGGATAAAGGCATATCCTTTGTTTATCTATAACGCCGCAGCGCGCAATGAATTGGAAGTTGATCTGTCAGCACTATCCTTATCTTCAGGGCAGATGTTTTTATTTTATTTGGCTTATAATTCATTACTAAATGTAGTATTTCATCTCGATGTATGCTGTCTTTGATATGATTTAAATCAAATTCCTCCTCATTAGAATTTGCTTCCGATAGCGCAGAAAGTGACAGAGGTTATTGAAAACGAAAAAATTTCGATTGACGAATTAGTCGGTATTCTCGACACAGCAATTATAGGACTTGAACACCGGAACTTTGTAACTGAACAAGAAATTATGGCTGTTTATAGAATTAAAGAGAATGTATTATCACATAAAAAACGAAGCAACTTAAACAACTTGCATTGAAAGAAATGTTTAATAAAGTAAACAAATATTAAGCTTTTTTTTTGTAAATTTTGATACCCTTTAGATCATAATTGTTCTTTATTTCATAAATTACGATTTCATATTTTTAATTTTATAATTTCTGCATGCCATCTTACCAGATTTAAACTGCTGATCTATCATCCGAAATCGCCGAAGTCCCGATGAGTCCGAATTAACAACTTTTGACTGTATCACCATTTTTTAAGTTTTTTTTTTTTTTTTTTTTTTTTAAATTCTGAATTCCAGTTTATAGACAAAGCATGATATGTTTTTTGCCTTAAACTCAGTTTTAAAATCTGCTTTTGAGAAATTTGCATGTAGTGAAAAAACCCTGATTAAATTTAGCAGAATTGCAGTATTTTACCGTGAAATCTGAAGAAACAGCTGTTATGAATCTGTTGTTAAAGTGATTTCTGGGAAATTTCCACCAGAGCAAATGAAAGAAAGACCAGCTTATAAGTAGATTTATTAATTGATTTTTGGTATCAGTACCAAATTAGAATGTAAAATATATATGTAGTAAGTAAATTTTTAAAACTGAATTGCACGATGGCTTGTATCATCATTCTTTACCATTTGTAAAAGATTGCCAGGTTACGTCAAAGTGGTTGCATTAATATGTAAATACCCGTTTTGTTGTAGGTTCAATAGCTTTAACTTTCCTTACCGCTGGTTTTTAGAAGTTACATCATTCCATTGGTTAGATAAATTTTAGCACCAATTCCATTTGTGTAAAATTTAACAGGAATTGTACTCATTTTAAAATTTAATTTAAATGTGAATAAAAATGCAGTGGAACTTTTATTACTCAAACTTCAGTAAATCAAACTGATTATTGAAATTTAAAGTTTAAAATAGTTGTTGAATTTTCATGAATAAACCAAATTTTGTTTAATTGTATTTTTGCTATTTTGCTTCAGCTTATTGCAGTTGTATTTAAATTCAAAAATCAATAAATAACCAAATATATATCACTTAAAAAAATTAATTTCATGAAAAATTAAAGAAATTT